TTTCCTGTGTCAACTAGAATGTGGACTAAAAACATTAACTCTTTTGGGCACCAGATGAGCCCACAGGTATAACAAGATACTGATGCCCTGTGGGTACAGGGAAGTGGCATGCCTTGTGTACATACACAGCAGGGATGCAAACTGACCTTAGGCTTGTTCAGCTGTACATGTTCAAATGCAATTTCTGTGCCCCCACACACTGACCCTCTGCTACACACCCAGAAGTTCAACATTGTGTTCACATTTCATGAAGAAGCTACTGACAAGGTCAAAGCCTGGTAAATAACAGAATGGAGTGACAAAAATATTTATAAATAGAGATTCTGACCTCACAACACCAAGAATATACCATATGCCACTACACTATTCACTTAAAACTGGTTCATTCTGTTATGTGAATTTTACCTCAATTAAAAAAAAGTAACAGAGCAAATATTTAAACCCTAGTCTCCTACACTCTGAAACCTACAAACTTAAAATCTACGATTAAGGAAAAGGTACCAGAATATGGCAAGTAAAAACAGGGAGAAACAAGCTAGTAGAAAATAAAACTTTCCAAATGAGAAGACAAACACCAACAGCTATACTAAATGTCACGGCCCCATCCTGGCAGCACTCACAGGACACACGAAGACTATCCAAGGTAAATGTCAAAGCCAAAATGAGGAAAGAGGAAGGAATTCTTTGGGAGGACAGAGTCATGGAAGGTTCCCAGTCAGTGAGACATCTGTGGGGCAGAGAGCTGGGAGTTGATGAAGAGCAACCTGCAGGAGTCAATGTTGACCATATCGTTGGGATTGGAAGGAAATGCATCCATTCAACTTTCAGGGTTGTCCACTATGTCCAGATACTGTCATAGGCACTGGGAGTCAAGTAGGGACTCTCAGAAAGAAGGAAGATAAAACTCAGATACATGAGTGGAGTATTATGCAGCCAGGATAAAAGAAATCCTGCCCATTGCAACATCATGGATGGACCTTGAGGAATGTATTATGCTAAATGGAATAAATCAGACAGGGGAGAAAAAAATCTACCGTTTAAAGGAAATTAGGCTTTGTTCATGACGGGTTTTTTTTTCCTTTTTTTTTCCTTTATTTATTTACACAAGCACTGGGTATAGTCAGAAGTGCGGGAGGGTGAGAGAATTCACCAGAGCCAGAGCAGGGAGCAGAACAGGCAGAAGGACCAAATTACACTGCTGAGGGGAGCAGCGGGTGGCAGGAGAGGTCTGTGTGCCATGTGGGACCCTCTCTGGTGGCTGGGGATTGAACAGGCGTTGCAGAGGCTGCTGTGGGCAGCTTTGCAGCCCAGTGTTCAACTGCTGCACCACCAGGGGAGGCCCTGTTCATGATGTTTTATGCAGGAAATGACAAGAGCATTTCAATAGTTTATAAAGAAGTAAGAACTAGATGGGAGACAAGAATCAAAGGAGAATTACTGGAAAGCATTTACAGATTCAACACAACCCCTATCAAAATTCCAGTGACATTTTCCACAGAAATAGAAAAAGCAGTTCTAAAGCATGTATGGAACTACAAAAGACCCTGAATAGCCAAAGTAAAGTTCTTAGTTCATGAGAAACTAAGAACTAAGCAAGAGGCAGCACCCTTTCTGACTTCAAAGTATACAATAAAGCTATGTAGTAATCAAAGCAAAATGGTACTGGCATAAATATAGACACAAAGACCAAAGGAACAGAATCAAAATCACGGAAAGACATTCCCATCACTACAATTAACTAACATTTGACAAGGAAGTCAAGAACACTCAGTGGAGAAAGGATAATCTGTACAGTAAACATTGTTAAGTAAACTGAATAACCACAGGCAGAAAATGTAGTATTAGACCCTTCTTACACCACTCACAAAAATTAACTCAAAATGGAATAAAGGTTTAAGCATAAGATCTGAAGTTACAACACTGTAAGAAAACAAAGGGAAAAACCACTTTGACATTGATGTTGGCAATGATTTTATGGAGATGACAGCAAAAGCACAAGTAACAAAATAAAAAATTAGTTCATGGGACATCAAACTAAAATGGTTCTGCACAGCAAAAGGCACAGTAAAGTGAAAAGATAACCTCTATAATGGGAGAAAATATTTGCAAAGCATGTATTTGATAAGAGCCAAAATATATAAGGAACTCATAAATCACATAATTTAAAAATGGACAGAGGAATTTGGAATAGACATTTTCTCAAAGAAGAGACACAGGTGGGCCTCTCTGGCAGCGCAAGGGTTGAGACGCAACCTATGAAGCTGTCTGCAGCCACTGCAGCATGAGTTCTATTTCCGGCCAATCAGGGAGCAACCCGCATGGCACAGCAGACCTCTCCTGAGTCGCCAACTGCTCCCCACAGCAGTGTATTTCAGTAGATCTGCCTGTTCTGCTCCCTCCTCTCTCTGGTGAATCCTCTCACACCCCGCACCCCTGGCTTACACTCCAGTACTTGTATGCATAAATAAATAAATATTAAAAAAAAAAAGATACACAGGAAGCCAACAGGTACATGAATAGGTGCCCAACACAGACTCTAATCATCAGGAAAATGCAAAATCAAAACCACAATGAGATCTCTGTTAGAATAGCTATCATATATATAAATACAGGAGATAACAAGCATTAGGGAAGGTACAAAGAATTTTGAGTCCTACTGTAAACTGGAGCAGCCACTACAGGAAACAGTATGGGGGGGCCTCAAAAAATTAAAAAATAAAAGTACAGCATGATCCAACTATTCCAGTTCTGGGTATACATACAAAAGAAATGAAAATTGGATATCTAGGAGATAATCTGCAACCCCAAGTACATCACAGCATTAGTCACAGTAACCAAGACATGCATACAATCTAAATGTCTGTCAATGAATGGATGGATAAAGATAGATATAAAGTTATATACATATGGTCTTGCACAAGTGGAATATTATTCAGCCAGAATAAAGGAAAGCCTGCCCATTGCAACACATGGATGGACCGTGAGGAATATATTGTGCTAAATGGAAGCAACAAGAAAGGAAAAATACTGTTATGATCTCACTAATATATGGAATGTATAGAAGGAGAACTATTAAGAGTAGGATGGTGGTGGAGAGAATGAGGAAATATTGTTGAAAGGGTACAAACCTCCAGTTATAAAATGAAAACTTTCTGGGAATTTAATGTACAGCATAGTGACTATAGTAGCAACACTTTAATACACATTTGAAAACTGTAAAGACACTAGATTCTAAATATTCTTACCACAAAAAAGAAATGAAGGGAAAAAAAAAGAAATGGCCCATGATATGACATGATGGCGGCGCTAGCTAATGCTATGGTGGTAACCATTTTGCGATATCAACATATTGTACCTCTTGAATGTATACAATGTTGTATCTCACTTATATCTTTTAAAAGTCTGGCTAATGGGCCTCCCTGGTGGCGCAGTGGGTTGAACACAGCACTGTGAAGCTGTCCGTAGCCTCCGCAGCACGGGCTCAATTTCTGGCCGGCCAGGGAGATACCCACATGGAGCAGCAGACCTCTCCTGTCCCGCCCACTGCTCCCCTCAGCAGTGTATTTCAGTCAGTCTGCCTGTTCTGTTCCCTGCTCTGTCTCTAGTAAATCCTCTCACCCCTGCACCTCTGGCCTGTACCCCAGTTCTTGTATGCATAAATAAATAAATCTTTTTTAAAAAAAACTCTTTGAAAATATGCTGTGAATAAGTAAATAAATAAAGAAATAGGTAAATACAGAACTGCAGTAATTTAGGGGGAGATTAGTAGTAAATTAATCTCTGAAAACCCAGCTGACCTACAAAGCAATTTGAGCAAGATTCATTTTCAAGGAGGAACTCATAGGAACACATGGTTGATCCACATTTGCATAAACTGAATCAAGAAAATAAAAATTACCAAGCAAAAGTCATTGTCCCAAGAAAAATAAAAAATATTGTATTTCCCCATTATCCCACCGCCATTTTTTTTTTTTCAATCTGACAACTCTGTGATTAGAGTCCATGTCCTCATAGGGACGCTTCATTTTCCAAGTGGATTGTGTCTTTATTCAGCTGCAGAGACTTCCTCAATGTGGACCTCCTCAATGTGGGCAGCAAGGGCTCCTACATATCAACAAGAAGCTGCCCATATCCTCAAGCTTTTTCACGCCCATTCACAGTCATGCAAACCTCCTCCTCCTACACTGATCTCAAGAGCAGAAATTCCTCAATAACATCAGGGAAGAAAATGTACATCCCAGCTAACTAAGAAGTTAAGTGTCTTTGTTATTTTTATTTCTCCTGTCTAATCTCCCTATATGCTAGAATACATGTTTCTGCTAGAATATGATTATATGCATTATTAGAAAGTAACACGTTTTGCAAAATTCGAAACAAAAACTGGGAGGAAAATTGATTTGGGACTTTCTACTCAAAATCTGTGGAACTTCAAAATACAAATTAAAAATAAATTGATAAATTGATAATCTGAAGAATTATCTAGCCACCTAGGCAGGTGGCCCAGCATGACTATTGGCTAACACAACACATATTAAAAATACATAAAAATGAAGGAGGAAAGGGGACAATGTTTTCATTAGAGTAAGACTGGCAAGAACTGAGAGCACAGGGAGAGCCCTGCCAGGCTATGTGCAGGGAAGGGGCTCAGGGAAGTCACACACACACACACACACACACACACACACACACACACACACTGAGCTGAGGACTTCTTCCCTTCCTGTCCAAGCTCATTTCTACTCTTACTGCACCTTGTTCCCTTTACCTGCAAAAACTTGTATAAACCAACATAAATCTGGCTATGCATGGAAACCTTGCCCCTCTTGACCAGAACAGAACCCAAAATTTACACTGTCTTCAGATTAAGGTGAGTATCCTCTGGAAGGCTGCCTGATCATTCATGAGCAGAGCCAGTGAATTCAGTCCTAGTACCTACTAAAGAGTTCCCAGAAAAAGATATGACCACAAAATCAAACCAACAGAAAAATGGAAATACTTACATGTAATATGTTGGGTATAATCCTTCAAAATACCAGCAATGCTTTTTGGCCTCTGTGCACTAGAAATAGAAGGAAGAAAAAAATCTGTCAAATTGCTGAGAAGATTTCACAAAAAGAAACAAGGAAGGGTGAGTGGATGTAGCTTCAGAGGGGGGAAGCTAGGGGCTTGGAGGGACCAATGAATAAGAGGGAGATCCATCCCCACCATGACATTTTATTCCTTCAAATTTTTCAAAAGGAAGAAATCATGGGAGAACATTATTTCTGTTATCATCTATTCTTTCATATCTCTGAATATACTCAGTATGACTAACTCATCAAAAAGGTAATCATTTGGTAGAATACTTCAGATACCTAATGAATGCTAAAAATAAAGTACTCAAGTTTTCCATTTTCTCCCAATTTTCATTTTTGAAAGACATTTCCCATAGTTTTAACTTTTCCATATCTTTGTATTTCAGAATATTCAAAAAGAACATATTCAAATCATCAATCACTGACTGTGGACCTATGTCTGCCTGACTCTGTAAGTCAGGGTTCACTCGCCAACATCTGTGGGTGACCCCCTCTCATTCCCAGAAGTTAACTGTCTTTGCTTGGAGCTTCCCCTGGCTTTCCAAGAAAGTCTAAGACAAGACATTCTTGGGGTGGAATTCCAAGCTCCCAAGGGTGGGACAGAGCAGGAAAGATGCAGCGAGAGGGCATGACACACACACAGACCCATAAGCAAATATCCAAGCAGTAAATATCACACATATCCAAGCAGCTGCTCCAAGCATGAAAGCACTAACCTATCTGAACAAGGTTTCTCTAGAATTACTTTACTCATACCATGATTTTTTTAATTCACAACTCCTACCTCATGATCCATTTCATTAGCCCCTATGAAATAAAATCCTTGAAATATTACAGTGCAAAGTTATCAGCAACAAGAAAAGTGGGAATGGGCCTCCCCTGGTGGCGCAGTGGTTGAGCGCTGGGCTGCAAAGCTGCCCGCAGCCTTTGCAGCACAGGTTCCCTCCCCTGCCGCCACCAGCGAGGGTCCCACATGGCGTGACAGACCTCTCCTGACACGCCTGCTGCTCCCCTCAGCACTGTGTTTCATCAGTCTGCCTGTTATGTTCCCCACTCTGGCTCTGGTGAATTTTCTCACCCTCCCGCACTTCTGACTGTACCCCAGTGCTTGTATAAATAAATAAATAAATCTTTAAAAAAAAGTGGGAATAGCACAGAGACAACAAACCTTTCTTGGGCAGGGGAGGAGGTGTGCAGCCAAAGCCCCCTAACCCCACCCCAGGCAATGCGCTTCCTGGGACCTGGCAAGGACTGCTTCTACCTTGCCCTTCCCCCAGCCCAGCAGGTATATGGCGACATCCCAGACAGCTGCACATAAGTTTCGAAACAGACCCCCAAATCTACAGTGGAGTGCCAGGGGGGAGGTAAGTGCAAACGTCCTGTTTTATACTACCTAAGTCAGATGAGCTACAGAAACAGCATGAAACAGCACTGGGGTATTTTAAATATGCCTTAAGACACTCAGAAACACTTAGACAACCTGAAGTGACCCCAATTTGTTTCTGGAAAATGATTTTAATTTAGAATAGGTTAGCTTCTGTCCAGTTCAAGAAATGAAATTCAAAGAGTTGAAGTCAATTTATTTTGTCAAGGAACAGCAATTTCAGGTCTCTGTCCCAAATTATAATTCATTTCACTAGAGTCTTTTGTGACAAACTAAGAAACCAAGTCTTTATTCTAAGTGGAATTTTAAATGTTTCTTCTTGATTCTCCATCACCGCCAGAGAGACACACTTTCCTGGTACTTGACACTCACGCTCCACACAATCGGAAAACAGCATCTGCTGCAAACTGCCCCCCACCCACCCCATACCAGCCCCGAAGCTCGGGAAACATCAGAACTCAGCCTGAAATGCTTTTCCTCCCGTCACGCCACCCACTCCTATAGGCACCTGGACCTGACTCAGTCCCACACCCCAGGGGTGTCAGCCAGTGGAGCCCTTGGTGTAGGCAAGGATGTGGCTGACTGTGGGGGTTTCCCTGCTTTTCTGGAGTTCCCTGTTCTGAAGCAGCCACTTACTTGTTCAAGACCCAGCACCACATCTCCCAACTCAAAATAACAATAAAAATAGCATTAATGCATTGCCTATTAGGAAGGATTTTTTCTTATTATGTTAATATTAGGAATACCATTTTATAGATTAAGAAAATGGGGCCACTAACAACTGTCTTGCTCAGTCACAGTTTATGACAAAACAACACTAGGCATTGCTTCTCCCAGACTAATCAACATCACCCTCAGGAGCCTACTTGCCCACCTCCAATGACCCCATAATTTCCTATGGCTACAGAAGGCGGTAGGGGAAGCCAGAGTGAAAATTCCAGAAATACTCCTATTCCACCATTAACAAATGAGACTTCAAGGAAGCAGCTCCCCTCACCACAACCCCTTTACACTTGCTGCCAAAATGGTGTGTACATGTGAATCTCATACTGAAGTATGCGCCACAGAGCTACCACAGGGTGGCTGAGGCACGGAACTATTACATAGCACAACATGCAGGCACTCACCATTGGCTTATAGGAAAGGAAATTTAGCAATATCTGGAAAACCACTAAGAATGTATTCCTCTTTATTCACTGATTTTCTCTCCATGAATATTGAAATAAGGACCATCACATGCACAATGTTATTCTTTGTGGTATTATTTCTAACAGCAAAGCTCTGGACATAACACAAATAGCCACTCATAGAAGGCTGGGTTAAGTAAATGATGGTGCATCTACACAACAGAGAATTTAGCCACCAACGAGAGGTTTCAAAATGGAGTGAGATGATTTCCAAGATGCAGTATTACCTTAAAAGGCTGTATGCAGAAGACTATTTCTAATATGCAAGGCTTGGGCCTCCCTGGCGGCCTAGGGGTTAAATCTCAGAGCTATCACCACTATCCCCAGCCAGGGAGCTGACCCACATGGCGTAGCAGACCTCTACAGTCTCGCCCGCTGCTCCCCTCAGCAGTGTATTTCAGTAAATCTTCTTGTTCTGCTCCCCACTCTTTCTCTGGTGAATCCTCTCCCCACCCCCCAACCGCAACTCTGGTCTACATCCCAGTTCTTCTATGCATAAATAAATTTTAAAAAATAATAATATGCAAGGCAAATTACCTTACAGGAAAAGGAAATCATACATTTGGCTAATTTTATATAAAGAAACATAGGAAGGATATACTAAAACCTTTTAAAAATGCTTACCCTGTGGAGGACAGGTGAGAGTCTGCCAGAGACAGGGACAAGAATGAGATTTCCGTGAGTGCACTTTTTAATATATTTTGACTTTTGAAACATATAAATGCTTCTCACACTTGAAAACAGAATAGTTAAGTCAAAATAGTTAAGTTTTTTAATCCACTCTTCTCAGCCTGAAAACATTCACTAAAGAGGCCTCCCTGGTGGCAAAGGGGTTAAAGTCTGAGTGCTAACAAGCTATCGCCAGTCACTGCAGCCTAAGTTTGATCCCCGGCCAGGGAGCTGACCCACATGGTGCAGTAGACCTCTCCTATCTCACCTGCTGCTCCCCTCAGTAGTGTATTTCAGTAGATCTGCCTGTTCTGCTCCCCCACTGTCTCTGGTGAATCCTCTCACCCCACACTCCAGTTCTTGTATGCATAAACAAGTAAAATAAATCTTTAAAAAAAAATTCACTGGAGACTATCATGGCACTATTGCACATAACATATCTTTGCTAAGAGCAACCGAGCAGCACAGAGATTGAGAAATTAGTGCTCACAAAAAACTCCTCAGGGGAATACTCTCCCCTCCTGGTGCTACTCCTAGCGCCCTCAGACATCAGGGCACCATTCATCCCATCCTTCCTCTGACCTTCCCCAAATTCCCTTTCTGGCATTTTTGCTGGGATGTTCAGTAACTTAGCTGACGCCTACTTGTTGGTCACTCTTGCGCAGTTCTAACTATTTACCAGGTATAAAAGTCAGCTTGCACAATGATTCATATGGTCTCATGATAAGATTAGAGACAAGGTTCCCTAGGGCAGGAGGTGGAGAGAGATTCCTGCTGGAAACCGCCCACATTGACAGCCTTGTTCTGTGAAGTAGAAGTCAACACGAAAGCAATAATTTAACTACAAAATGGGAATTTGTGAGGTATGAGTAATTTTCAGAGTAATCCCAAACACTGATGGGCTGTCAGCAGAGGCCCCAAGAGCAAGCCAATGGGTGGTATGGAGAATGGCAAAAAGATGACTCAGTGCTGGGTTCAACTGGAAGCACCCAAATCAAAAAACTCAAAACCTAGACAACTGGGTTCTGACCCCAGCTGCCATGCTGCCATCAAATAATCTCAGCTTCCTCATTTCTAAAATAGGACATACTCACCCCTGGTGAGTGCATAAGACTTGGAGAAGCAACTAATACTATATGTATTAAAATGCCTGACTAGATCAGGATGCAGTTCACTGAATCCCACTGCCAGGGAGCAACTCCATCTCCCTAAAGGGTATCTGAGAGGAAGTTTCTTAATTCTCTAGAATAAATACTTTTAAAGCTTATTTGACTATGGTTACCTGTCATCTAAGCAGAAACAATGCTTGTAAACCTTAAAGATTCTAAATATATAATACTTTACACATTTGTATATTTGCTTTTCAAATATCTCCCTTAAAAAGAACAAGTCACTCACCAAAAAAAAAGTTTGAAAAAAAAGTAAAAAATCAACTTTAAGGTTTTATATCCACCTATAAAAGTAGGCCTATCCATTCTGTAAAGACACTATCATGGTTTTTAAGGATTGATGACCTATATGAAACTATATCTATTAGGAAAGGCCAAGTCAGCCACTTTCTGTTTATCAACCAGGCACCCTCAATAGCCAGAATACTGGACCAGATTTCGAACAACAGAAGGCCCTTAATGAGCTACCGTGTAATATTCTGTCCAAGATACAGGAAGCAATCATAAACATAATGAACTATGCCTTGAAGAGATCATAAAGAGCAGCAATACACAATGTATAAACTATTAATGAA